ATTATTATTGTTATTATTATAGAGAGAATAGTTGGGTTTGCTTGCATTAGACAATGAAGAAAATGTATCACTCAGCACAGCAGTAATAATCATTGTTATTAATAGTAAAATAATAATAAGTGTAAAATGCAATAACTGTGCATTATTAATTATTCCAACAATTAATTACTAAAATAATTATTGATCTGAGAGTTATACATATATTATTGTGGATTTAGTCAAAACCAGGGGAAGCAGCAACTTCAGTTCGCTATGCATTAAATTCTGGATATCGGTTGGTGGACACAGCTGCTTGTTACAATAATGAACAAGACTTGGGCAAGGTTCTCGATGAAGAATTCATTAAGCCTGGAAAGCTCAAGCGCGAAGATGTTTTCATAACTACAAAGGTTAATACTTCAACTTTAACCTTTTGTAATTTTTATACAATGAAAAATTGTTATAATATTTAATATTTTTCCATTTTTTATTCTTTCAGTTGTCTATTTGGATTTTTCTTATTTTTACTTGAAATTTAATCGTTTGTACGCAGTAAACTAACTTTTTAACTGTGAAGAATACAGTAATGTAATTTTACTTTTCGTGATATTAATGTTATTTTTTTGATTTTACAAAAATAATAGTTATGATATTCTTAACAAAACAAAAAAACTCTAAGCAACAAATGCTTTCTATTTTGCAAAAATTTTTCAGCTTGTAATTTTGATGGAATATATAATTATTTTAATTTGTAGAATTGAAGCAAACTTATTTGTGCGTTTAGTACTGTTTGGTATATGATTATTAAGCATTAAACATTAAATTGTTTCATAATTATAGTATTATGATTGAAATATTAAAATTAAACTTTACAAACTTTATCAGTATATTTTTAGGAAAAAAAAAAGATGTCATTGTACACGTGGTAATATCACGTAATAATCATTCAGTCATTAATAGAAGTTATGACTGAAATTGAAAAATTGGATTTTAGCTGTGGTGTACACATAATCGAGCTAAAGAAGTAGAAGGACAAATTAACGAATCATTAGAAAAACTGCGAACAAATTATGTGGATTTATATTTGATCCACATGCCTACCTCTTTTGATGTTAGCATTTTCTAGTCTTCAATTTTTGAAATATTAATATTTCATATAAGTTTTGAAGTTAAGCAATTTCATATTATTGGTTGCATCTGATCAATTCAAAAGTAATCTGAATTATCTATTGAATATGTATATAAATTTATTCAAGTAGCTTATTTTATAGCTTCAAATGACTACACCAGACACATCGGATTCATTGGAAAAATTATGGACGGTTAGTTATTAATTCATTCTTTAATTATTATTATTTTCTTAATTTTATGACTTATTTTTAATTTTATATTTTTATATATGACAATTTGTGTCATTAAAAAATTAATTTAAAAACTATTGTTTACAGGGTATGGAAGGTGTATTTAAAAAAGGTTTGACAAAAGCAATTGGTGTTTCAAACTTCAATTTAAATCAAATTGAAAGAGTACAAAAATCTGCTTCTGTTAAAATTCATAATGTTCAGGTCAGAATATTGTCTAATAATTCTTTTAAAAAAAAGCATTTTATATGTTTTAATGTAATTTTTAAGTGTATTTTGTAAAAAAATTAGTCAAAAATTAAGTAATTTCTATTAGTAAAGACAAAAAAAAAGAGTGAATAATTTTTTGTTGAATAAAATTTATAATTTTTTTATTTGTTTTTAATTAAATCATTTCAGGTAGAATGCCATGTATACTTTCCTCAAATTGATTTACAAGAACTGTGCAACAAGCATGATATCTCACTGACTGCGTATGCACCACTTGGATCACCAGGACGGGTTGACTGGGAAGTACCGCAAAGAGGGTAAACTTCTGACATTTATAAATTATATTTTATAAATACTTATCGTAGATATGATATAATATGATCTGAGCAGATTTGATAAATGTGATATGATAGTAACTTATGGTTTTCTGTATTTTATTTTTTATAATAATTAAAAGTACCACAAAGAGGGTAAACTTTTGACATTTAAAAGTCTATTTTATGAATAGTTATTATAGATACGATATAATATAATATGGTAGTAACTTATTGTTGCGTTTATTTTTATTTTTTATAATAATTAAGCATTTTTAAGCAAATTGCAATGGGCTAAAGCTAAAGCAGATATGGAAGATGAGACAGTGCTAAGACTTTCTAAAAAGTACAATAAAACACCTGCGCAGATCTGCTTACGATATCTGATAGATCGTAATATTGGTGTTATTCCAAAAAGTGTGAAAGAAAATCGAGTCAAAGAAAATTTTGATGTAAATTTTATAATATTTTGAGATTATATTAAACCAAATGCATTATTTAAATAAACGATAAAAGTTCAAAAATAATATATTGAAATGATTACAAATAAATTTATTAGTACATAAGATTTTCAAATATTCAAAATAGCCTTATTTTAAATTTCAAAAAAATGTGCAAAATTTATCTATCATTTAGGTATTTGATTTTAAACTTACGGAAAGTGAAGTACAAGAACTGCTCCAAGTCAAATATCGACAACGTCTTTTCTTCTTCGATTAGTTATTTTTCAAAATATACATATATATTTTTAAATATTTATAACTTTTTAATAAAAAAAGAAAGAAATTATAATATTTTATTTTGGAATAATTTACTTTTTCTAATTTCTTGTAATGTGCACTTGACAAATTTTAAGAATTTTCATATTTTATATTTGATCAAATACAATTATTTATTTCCAGCATGATCAACCATCCGGAAGATCCATTCAAAGCAGAACGTCACTAATATCATCAGTTATGCAAAAATACCTTTTCCAAATTTGCATAAAATCAGTACTAATATTCTGTGATTAAAGGTTGGCTAACAGATGCTGTAAAATAAGCCTGTTTTTGATTTTAATTTTTATAAGCTCAAATTACTTTTACCAGCTTTTTCTTGTAATGTGTACTTGACAAATTTTAAGAATTTTCATATTTTTGGCTATAAAAACCAAATTAAATTTAATAAAAATATAAAAAAGATTAGTAAAATTATAGAAAATATTTTAAAAGACAATCAGTAAATTGCATTATTTTTTGCTTTATAACATCTTTTTTTGTTATTATATGTAAAAAGCTTTTTTGAAAAATAATTTAATAAAATTTATTTTGGCTGAATTTTATTTAAACAGACGAATTATTATTAAAAGTGAAATGCTTTGGGAGTAACAAAATATGCAAGGAATGAAGCAGTGCTGTGTGATACAAATTGCGCTTCGCATACATATTAATATTAATTAGTGAAGTAAAAAATATTTATATTTCTGATTGATTCATTTCGTAGTACAAACCTTTTTCTTCCATTAACTCTTGATGTGTACCTAAAAACTTGAATTAAATACATAATAATTTAATAGAATTTTAAGTAGTGTCCAATATTTTCAAGAAATGTGTTGCAAATCGTAGAATTTTTACTAGTTTTTAAAATTATAATCTTTTATTGAACAATTATCATTAGTGATGTTATTTCAATTTCATGATTCAATTTAAAAAAGTAGAATAGAATTCACAGCGATAATTCATATTCTATCAATACCTATCTGGCTCTACGTCAGATTTACACGTAAAAACGTACCTTGTTCGGCTATTTCACCGTCAACCAATACATAAATACTGTTCACTGATCTTATAGAGGACAAACGATGTGCTACTGAAAGTATATCAAAATTTGCGTATTGTATTTGAACGCACGATATTAACTTCAGAAATAAAATTGAGACATTACTTATAATTACTTGTAATTTCTTTGAAACTATTTATAAATACACGTCAATTTTTATCATAATTAAATTAGGCCCAATCAAAAAAAATAAATCCGATGTAGCAGTAATTAACATCTGCATAGTCACAAAATTAGTAAATAATAATAATAATTTTTCAGCTAGTTTTACTTATATATACTGATTGACTCATGAATTATTTTAAGTCACGTCACGTAATTACGAAGTAATGAGATATTTTCAATAAACCCTACGCTATAGACTTCTTCTATATTACACAATTATAAACATAGCTTACTAAGTTTAATTTTTTTGATTAAAAATATGATTTAATATTTGCTGATTACAACAAAATGCATAAATGTACCGTAAATACAAGTACAGTTCTTGCTAACTGATTCGAGAGCGCTTTGTACTGCCTAGAAATTATCAGTGCATTTCTGATAAAACTTGCATATTGCGAGTACAGTTTTTAAATATTTATTAGTCTAAGAAATATAAAAATTTATAAAATTTATTGCAGTAAAAAGTAAAAACAAAATTAAGTCTTAAACAAATCTTATGCAAATAATTTTCATAGCTACAAAATTTGAATAAACTTTTTCGCTAGCTGTGTCCAGAGCAGCAGTTGCTTCATCAAGTAGTAATACTCGTGGTTCTCGTATTATTGCTCGAGCAATTGCAATTCGTTGTTTTTGTCCACCAGAAAGTTGTGCTCCAAATTCGCCAACTTCAGTATTATAACCCTTTAAAATAAAAAAGCTAGCAGTTTATTATAATTTAAGCTTTTCATATAAAAGCTATCTCTTCTGATATTCCTAGTTCAGTCTAGATATAGATAACTGAAGCTAAATTCTTAACTAAGAAAGCTCATCTATTTTCATTTTAAATTATGAAGTTAAAATTTACTTGTGGTAAAGATAAGATGAAATCATGAATATTAGCAATTTTAGCAGCTTCTATTATTTTTTCTTCGGTTGCTTCATCATCCGGTAAGCCATATCCTGTCAAAAAAATGATTATAGAATAATTATATTACCACAAACAATTTTGAAAAAGTTGGACAATTTCCAAATTCAAAATAAAATACAACTTTGCAATTTTCAACTGACAAGCACGATGGCTGCTAAAACCAAATGGTACCAAAAAATTCCGCATATTTTCTATTAAATTTTTACACTTATTAAGTATTTAAAATAAAATAGTGCACGTTTTTGAAAAATAATTTACCAATATTTTCACGTATAGTAAATGAAAAAAGTACTGGTTCTTGTCCAACCGAAACAATAACACGTCTCAAGTAAGCAGGATTGATTTGGTTCACGTTGTAATTATCAATCAACTGTAAAAAAGAATGATATTTTTTTAAAACTTTAATTCAAATATGTTTTTTCGATAAATTGAATAATAGTTTCATAATATGCAAATTTTTAAAACAAATAAGGAAAAAAAACTACTCACTACTTCTCCTTTTGTGGTACTATACATACGTTGAAACAGCGCAAGAATGGAACTTTTTCCTGAACCTGAAGGACCTACGATGGCTATTGAATCTCCTGGCCGGACCTGAAGGTAATACATTTTAAGCTTTATGACTTTTAAAGTGTAACAGACCATTAAAATTTCAATTCCAAATTTAGTTAAAAATTGAAAAAAATTGTCAAGGTTCAAGTAATTTGGTATTAAAATTAATTAGTAATAAAACACTTTCAATGAATTTATCGTTGCGCTACCTTTAAAGTAATATTGCGCAACACGGGATATAATGGACGAGATGGATAACGGAATTCAACGTTTTTCAACAATAATCGACCCACAGTTTTCTGAAATAACTACGCTACCATTATTTTGTTTTGCTTGCGAATATTAAAAATATCAACACAAAAATTTCATTCTCCGATAAATCAAGCAAACTATCATCAAAAATAATTCATTTTTTGAATAAATAAAATGACTTCCGGTTACTTAATAACTTAATAAAGTGACCATTGAAAATGGACAACATTATCAGTAATTTAATAATGCATATTTTTTTTGTAATAAAAATTTATAAATTTTAAAGCAAAAGTTTTGATATGATTACATAACAAGGAAATTACGATTTTAAATCAAGAATTTTTTGATGAAAACTAACTGGTCTTAAGCCTTCTCCACTAAGATTGTTCATATCAACAGCTGTTTCCTTGATCACATTTAGAATATTTCCGGAAGCTATTCGAGCCTTCGAGATATCACTTACTGATGCAATTAGTTGACTGATAAAGTTAGCACCGAACTGAGTTAGTAATACAACCCTGCAGTAATTGATTACAAATTTAGGTATAAAATTTCCCTTATTTATTATTTTATTATTATTACCATTACTATTAATATTAATTAATTAATCAATCAATCAATATTAATTTAATTATTACTACAAACATGTCATACAGTAACACTGTATAACACTGCAGAAATTACTCATAATAATTACCTAATTCATATTCTCATGACTTGTTGCAATAGCTTCAATTTCTATTCTATGTAACTTATTTTGGCGTTAGTTTTTATACTTTGTTGAATTTTTAGCAATAGAATTTTTGATTACTGATTATATTTATTAATAGAGTAAGTGTGGATATTCCATTATTAATTATTGACTTTTGATCATCAATAATTCTTCATTTTTCATAACTTCTAAATTTATAAGTTAAAATTTATTTTATGCAAATTTAAAAATTAAAATTTATTTTATGCAAATTAATTTTATTAGGCAAATTTAATGGCAATACTTTGTATAAAAATAATAGCTTTCTTTTTTTTTGCGATTACTAAAATAAATTTTAATTTTTCAAACCGTAAATAATTAAAAGGTGTAATTTCATTGCTTAACATCATAACTTTTCCAAAATGTAACGTTATCGCAATTAAAATATACGTAAAAGAAAATTGACAAGCAAATACAAACGAACTGATACAAGACTGTCTTTTCATCGTTCTGAAAAAAAGGAGTTCTTAATTAATTTATACAAAGTTATTAATTAACTCAGCAAATTTAAAGGCAAAAACCTGTTAAATTGATTAAAATGTTTAATACCAAAAATATTTTAATTAAAAATAATCTTTTTAGTTACAGAAGAAATTTTAATAAGCTTACTTTTGAAGTGGTTTTAGCGTTTCGTAGAAAATATTGTTGAAATGTTCTTGTAAAGTGTAAGCTTTAATTGTGCTCATGTTTGATAAGACTACAGTTGCAAGCTGAAAGTAGTTACTGTATGCACTGTTATTGCATTGTAAATTGATTTTGTTATAAAAATTTTTCAATAATTTTAGACTAAAATATTAACTCCAAAATTAATTTTTAAGCACTTATAAATAGTTTTGAATTTTAATTTTAAATTCAAAATTTTATAAAATTTAAAAATCAAACGTTAAGATAGATTAACAAATAAAATTGTCAAGTACGATAACATAAATTATAGCTTGAAAATTAAGAATAAAATTATGCATAAAGTTGAAACTTCAAACATTAGCAGCTTTTTTCTCTTGCTCAGCCATTTGACGTTGACGCTTGTTTGTTTCACGTAATTCTACTAAACGAAATAAAAAAAAAGCTGGAAATTGAAAACCACAAAGAAGTGCTAATTTCCAATTAATTATCAATGCAACTGTTACTGAAACAACTGAACATATTACTGCTGGAAGAAGCAAATCCAACTTATCGCCAAGAATCTGTAATTTTCATAACTGTTTCAAGTAATAAGTATTAAAAATCAATATTATCTAGAAAATATCTTACGTAAAAATACCGTGATTATCAGTAAGTGTAAAAAAGTAGGAGTGAAAAAATCACGAAGTAAACATCATGTATTTTGAGGATAGATTAATCTCTTATTATGATATGCATTTTTTTAAAAATGCATAAATAAATATAAATTAAATTACTCTATTTAAAGTTGTCGTATCAGACATAAGTTTATGGACTAATCGCCCAGGTGTATTTCGTTCTTCATCAAAATAGGCTGCACCATGCCTTAAAATCCTTCGGAACATTTCGCTTCGCATATATCCACAAAATCCATACCCATATAAGGCAATAAATAATCGCTGAACACTTTTAAATCATAAGGTCAAGTATTATTGTACTAATTATTTAATATTTCAGTTCAAGTAATGACAAATATTGAACTTAAAACAATCTTATTTCGTCGACTTTAAGACTACTTATTTTAAAATAGTCTTATCTTAGCTTCCAGTAGTCTTATATTTGTTATGAATTTAAGTTCAGAATTTACATTTTACCAAAAATTATTCTTGGCTTCCATTTATCTGATTAGATTCACATTACGTGTAAAAAAGTAAGAGTGAAAAATTTAATGTGAATAGATGAAAATTTAGTAGAATATTTATCTCTTTTAGATGTAATTACTTCACGTTATACTTGCAAACATCAAATATAATTTCAGGTCAGGTACGTATGAAAGCAAATCCATCAAGTTAAAATAGCTTACTCCAACTGCTTCAAACATAGTTTTAATAATAATTAAAGCGGTAAAAACAGCTGCAGTAATGAATACACGTTGTGCCATTTCTTCTTTTGAAGTAATTGTTATCTAAAAAGTAAAATGAAAAGTAGTACTATAACATTTACAAAACTACAGTAATGTACAAAATCCAATTCATATAAATAATAAGCTTATTTTTTAAATTTAATAAAAGTTAACAAAAATCAAACTTCAAGCACAGATGACACTTCGAAGCAGACAAGAAGAAAAAAGAATCCTCGAAGGATAGTGACAGGAATCGCAATGCTCAAGTGAGAATAACCTTTCTTGTAACTTTTAATCAGATTCCAAATGGCATTGTAATTTGTTTTTCCAGTAAGCTTCAAACAATAATGGTTATAATTTGCAAGAATTTGCATGCCGTTTATTATGCTTGCAAATAATTTAATAATATTTGGTTAATACTCTGATAGTCTTTAAAATTAAGCTTTAAAATTTTAGAAAAATTTAAAAGATTTTATTTTTAATTTTTTTTGAACAAATTTTAAATTCATCTATTTTTTGAATATTTAGTCAGTACTTAAACAATATTTGAAATTAACACAAAATTTTTAAAAGTTTTGACTAAGCATTTTTTTGATAATATTTGATCAGCACTTGTAAAACTTTGCATATTTCACTTTATATTTTAAATTTATTTCTTTTTTCATTTTTAGAGTATATTTAAATTTTTCAAATTTGACTCAAAAAATTGTTGAAATAATTAATCTGGTCAATTTTTTCAATAGTGATTTTTTAACTGTTAATTACATGCTTAGTCAAATTTTTTATATCTAAATTATATTCAAAACAATTATTTTTTAATCATTAAATAAGTAAAATTAATACGTAACCATTACGAATTTACGATTATTTTTAAAATAGTGAATTACTAAAGTTTCATCATCGTAATTTTTATCATTCATTGCAACTTCCATAATATTTGTTTTGAAAGCTAAATCCATACGTGACCTCTTCTTTGACATCACAGGGAGTGCTAATTTTTCTCTATCAGTACTAAGAACTGAATATGACTTGCCAAGACGTTTATGAGCTCCTAGTGATGATCGAGCCCAAGCACGGCGATAAGTTTCCGCATCCTAAAATATGACGTAAATATGTAATAAAGCAAGTATACTTACCACAAGTAATTTAAAATATAATTAGCAATTCAAATTTCAGTTATGAATAATTAAAGTTTGAAGTAGTTATTTATAAATGATTCAAACTAATCGTGACTAATTTGAAAATTAAATAAGGTAATTAAATTTGTAATACTTCATAATTTTCAAAAAAAAAAAAAACGTGAAGAACTAACTTTTGAGTTATAAAAGACATTAAGCCTTGCTCACTTTCCCCTCAAAACTTAATTAAAAACTAATTAGATTCTTCAAACTGTTAATTACTTCAGAATTGTAAACACATACAAAATCTTTTTAATTTACAAGTAAAATAAAACTGAGTGTTATTCATTTATATGAGGCTAAAATTTGTTTTTGTACATTACTAATCAAATTTAGAGTAAGACTAATAAACTGCTACTGTAAAATAGAAAAAGACTGATAAATTATCACTATAAAATAGAAAAAGACTAATGAATTAGTACTGTACAATGTTTGAAGACATAAATTTTAGTTCTAAGTTAGATTTTACAAAATATTCTTTCTAACATCAAAAAATACATTTTTTTTCTTTCAGAAAAAAGTTTTAAAATAAATACAAACTATAAAATCAGCTGGGGACATTGAAAAGTGCGTAGCTAAGGATAATTTAGATCGTTCTCGAGGATTAATTGCTAATTTCTTCACTGCCAAAGAATCAAATTTTTGATCGTTGTACATTCGATGGAATTTACCATCTCTATTTGCCAGTAGTTCTTCTGGACTACCTTCTTCTACAATTTGTCCACTTTCCAAAACAATTATACGATCTGCATTCCGTACCGTACTCAATCTAAACAATACAGTATAAAAATAATAACACAGTATGGTATTTTCTTGTATGTATAACACTTGAAATACGCTTGCATCTTAGCATCGAATTTAATAACAGCAATAAATAGAATTATGTCTTATTTTTATTCCATTATTTATACTTATTCGCCAAAAACAGCACCTAATACTGCAATAATTGATGAAAATTTGAATTTTGATAAACTTTGCTAAAAAATAACATTGATAACAGGCTGATGGCAGTGTTCATTTAATCTTTATAAAGCATTTGTTCAATTGAATACTTGCATATTTTATACTGATAATATGCAAATTTTAGAAAAGTTTTTTACTTTCAAACAATTTTTTTTTAATTAAGAAAACATTTCGTTGTCTTTGCAAAACAAATCGAGTGGACTTTTTAATTTTCAAAATATTTACTGCATTTAAAGACATTTGTTTAACAGAATTTATGCTTAAATAACTGTAAAAAATAAATTTTTTACGAACAAAAAAAATTCATTTAATTTTAAATGAATTTTTTTTGATTCTTTAATTTTAAATATTTTGTGATGCAAATTTAAGTATTCAAAACAAATATGAAAATATTAATGAATAGTTAGTTAACTGCAATATAACATACCGATGTGCAATTGTGACAGTAGTAACACCTTGGCTAGCTGCATCAATAGCCTTCTGTACTTCAACCTCATGTTTTGTATCTAAAGCAGACGTGGCTTCATCAAATATCATCACGGATGGATTGCGTATCACTGCACGTGCGATTGCAACACGTTGCTTCTGACCCCCAGATAGCTGCAAGCCTCTGAAAAGAAAAACTTTTTATTTTTTCACAAACCAAAAAAAAATGTGAGCGAGAAAAATTAGCAAACTATGCAAAATTATTTGAGATATCGTGTCACTGATTGTTTAATAAATATTTATTATAATAAAGTAAATAAACAAAACTTTACTTTCATATACATCATTTAGTTTCAAAGATAAGTATAAAAATCTGCATTGCTTAATATACATCAAAAAATGTTTCTCAAAACGTATGAAAATTTAAAAGTTTGCAATAAATAATATATATGTATATGAAAATAATAATTTGTGCAATATTAAAATTTAAACATAAAATAAAAATAGCAAACCTGTCACCAACTCGAGTTTTCATGCCTTCAGGCAGTGCACAAATAAACTGCCAAGCCTCAGCTTTTCTAGCTGCATCGTTAATGTCTGCTTGCGTTGCATCTAAACGTCCGTATCGAATATTATCACTGATTGTTCCTGTACGTATATTAATTGATTTAATAATTTATTAAAAAAATGAGTGGATTACTAAATTTTAATATAATGATTTGTTTGATGAATTAAATTTATGACCATTTTATAATCAACAAAACCAAAAACAAACCATCAAAAAGTACTGGTTCTTGACTAACTAAACCAAGTTGAGCTCGTAAATTATCAAGATTAAGTCGTTTCAAATCAACTCCATCTAATGTAATCTGTAAGTTATTATGACCAATTAGTAAAACAAAATATTTAGATTCAGTTATCAAGTTTATTATATTTATAAAAAATTTAGTAGTAAAATCATATGTATAACATTTGAAATTACTGACAGTTCCACTGATTGGATCGTAAAAACGTAGCATCAAAGCTGTAAGCGTACTCTTACCAGATCCACTTGGACCTACAATTGCCACATGTTCACCTGCTGATACCGTGAACGATACGCCTTTTAATACCTGTAATTTGTTTTTATCTTACTTGTAATATTTTATTCTGTAAAACAGTCATTCGATACTGTAATTCAATACTGTATTACACTATGAAAGGCAAACTTTGCAGCAAGTATTTGATGCCATATGACAATTATTGTAAAAAAGCGTTTTGTACTGTAGCAGTATTTAACATATTGTATAATTTGTTTGATAAAAAAAAGAAAACGGTAATTCATCAAATGTTTGGAATATTTCTACTAATTCTTGCATGCATATAATTAATTCACTAAAATATGCATATCTTCAAATATGACCTCAATATCAGGTCTGCTTGGATATGCAAAGTTTATTTCTTTAAATTCGATGGCTCCATGGCCACGTGGAGCTAACATACTTTCCATATGTTTGTTCACGTAACATTCGATATTTGGAGTTTCATTTAAAATTGCATTCATTTCATTAGCATTTTTACGAGCAGTTGAAACTCCAGTCATGTGGAAGCCAATGCTAATTGAAGTAACACACATATATAGCATGTTAATTGCTAACTAAAAAAACAACACTTACAAGATAGATAAATAAATAAATTAATTAATTAATTAATTAATTGAGTAATTAATAACTTAATGTAACTGTAACTTTTTTTTTCAAACCAAATCAAGTAATTCCAGTAGTATAATTTCATTTTCACATTTATTACAATAAATAACTAATCATTTTAGTCTAAAATGTGTAATAAATTCAGTCTTAATCGCAGCATAAAATTTGATTTAATTAGAAATGAAAATTTTAAATAAAATAATTACTAAAATGTTAGAGAGAGTAATTTTAAGATTATAATAAACAAAATATACTGCAGCAAGACGGCCTGGATTGTTATCTCCAACTCGCCAAATTCCATAACACAAAGCTGCGGTAAAAATAAATTCAGTTAGCAAAACCTAAAAATTAAGCATATTTCGTTTATTAATTTTAATCTTTTAATCTTTGATTTTTGTGTAATTGTAAAATTTGATTTTAATAATTTAATCAATCAAAAGAAATTTATAACGAAAACAAGTTTTCAAGCAAATTCGATAAGTTTTTAAGTAATGATTTTTAATCTTTGCAGTAAAAGTTTTACCTGCGCGAGAGCATCATAAATTGATGAAGCAGTAAGGCGTTGTTCAGTCATACGATTTAATTCCATTGTTAATCGTTCATATCTAGCAAATTTTAAAAATGCAAATAAAAAAACTATTATTTTATCAATTTTATACTTAATAATATTTTACATCTAAATTTATATTAATTTTGTGTTGTTAAATTACTGTATGAAGATAAAAATTACAATAATTGATGAATAAATTTAATACTTATTAATTGTTTGTTTTTGAGCGGCAAAAGCGATAACAGTTCGTATGCACGAAAATGTTTCTTGCACTAAATTTGTCATTTTAGCCAGTAATTTCTGCTCTTCATCACGAGTTTTACAAAACCACTAAAAAATATTCAAAAAATTAAAATTAGTACTAATTTAATCAAAGCAAAATATTCTCAGATACAAACGCTTATTATC